CCCCCCCAATATTACAGAATGGATGGGGACAAATTGTACAGAGTCCAGCAGAGGGCAGTGAAAATGGTTAGGGGGCTGGGGCACGTGGGCTTATTTAGTCTACAGAAAAGAAGACTGAGGGGTGATTTAATAACACCTTCAACTACCTGAGGGGTAATTCCAAAGAGGATGGAGCAAGACTGTTCTCAGTGGTGGCATATGACAGAACAAGGAGCAATGGTCTCAAGTTGCAGCAAGGGAAATTTAGGTTAGATATTGGGGAGAATTTTCTCACTAGGAGGGTGGTAAAGCACTGGAATGGGTTATCCAGAGAGTAACCAATCCTTGGGTTGCTGTGGAGCCTCTATCCTTGGAGGCTTTTAAGACCTGGCTAGGCGAAACCTTGGCTGGGATGATTTAGTTAGGGATGGTACTGCTTTGAGCAAGGGGTTGGACTAGATGACTTCCTAGGGTCCCTTCCAACCCTAATTTTCTATGATTCTATTAATTGGGTTATTTATTTTAGAGGAGAGATGATAGAGGGAAATGAGGAATCTGATAAGTCTTTCAATACAAAAGAGATTGGTGATCAACTGTTCTTCCTGTTCACAAAGGATAGGACAAGGGTGTAAGTTTCAACAGGGGAGTTTTAGGTTGGATATTAAGAAGAGCTTCTAATTTGGAGCGGGGGTTAAGTACTGGCATAAAGTACATAGAGTGGGCTTAGGTTAGATAACCGCTTGAGAGTCTCTTTAGCCTGTTGTGCTATGATTTCTTAAGCAAGTTTCCCAAAATATTTTGTGATCTTCCAGACTGAAACAGCTGATAATATTTTTGGCTTGTAACATCTGAATCTTAGCTTTGAGTTCTCATCATTTAGACCACTAATGGCCCTGAGTAGGTAAGGAGGGAAATTTCCATGTTAGTCTGTAGACAGCCTCTGCCAGTCAGTAGAGTAATTGTTGCTATGGTAATGGCTGCTCCTGAACTGTGCATATTAAAAATGATAAGAACAGCTAAATTCTACAGGTGAAATTATGGCTTTGCTGAAGCCAATGTAAGTTGTCATTTGTTTCTCTGGGAACAGTACAGGGTCTTCATAAAGTCCTTGTGCTCTTTTAAACTTAGGTTGTGCACAAGGACTTTATGAAGACCCTATATTTCACTCTAAGTGAAGCTGAAGACAGAAGAAGTGAAGGTGGGTCTGGAATAGTAAGAAAAAGGAAAATGGTGAACAGTCCTTAAAAACCCTATCTGCAGATATTTTGGGTGGCCAGAGCTTCAGCAGGGCCATGGAGATGTTGACATAATACATTAGAGCAGTGCTTTTCAAAGTGGTAGTCCACGGACTGGTGCCGGTCCGCGAGCCACCGGTCGCCGGTCCGCAGCAAGTTGCCAGGAAAGAAAGAAATATATTTTCAGAAGCATAATACTGATATGTCATAGCGCCACAGTTTGTACGTTCCAACACTCCAGGTGACATCATGTCGTGCAAGGTGAGGAAAGAGAAAGAAACAGCCAGTCGCGCATTTGTTTAGCGCTGTTGCACACAGTTGCTGTGACCGGCTGAACCGGGCACCGGTCCCTGGCCCACTGGAAAAAAAAATGCTGGTCTGCCACATAAGATAGTTTGAGAAGCACTGCATTAGAGGATGTAGCAGGATCCAAAATGTTGGTTAATGGGTTTTTTTTTTTTTGTTTTGGGAGGTTTTTTTGGCTAAACTTTATTTGAAGACTCTACAAACCCCAGTCACTATATGCAGGGGAAAGAGCAATTTTGAAACACTATTTTGGTTACTAGCTAAGGAAAGGAGACTTTTGAATACATAAAATACTGATCCTGCAGTAAGTCTTTGTACAATATGCATATGTAGACAAATGTTGTGTCACTTTTCTAATGCGTCATTTCCTGCATATTCTGTTCTGTTTGAGGCCCTTTCTGTTCTAACCCTGCAATTTCTGAGGAGCTACTCTGTATTCATACGTCTTAGGCAAACACACATATAAATGTGTAGAATACAGCTGACTCTGTATTTCTTCACTCTTTGTATGTGTTCATTTTATCCCCATAGGAGCCATATTATGTTCGTTGCATTAAGCCCAATGATAAGAAGTCACCACAGCTGTTTGATGAAGAACGCTGCAGACACCAGGTGGAGTACCTTGGACTTTTGGAGAATGTGAGAGTCCGCCGGGCAGGATTTGCTTATCGCCAAACATATGAGAAGTTTCTTCACAGGTGAGAAGGGAATTGGAATATGCTTTGTTTCAGGTCTTTACAAGGTATTTGAGATATTTGATGAGGTGGTCCCTCTAAATTTCTGCCTTCATGATGAGGAAAAAGCCAGAGTTTTTTAGGTTTAGCAATCCTCGCTCTCAAAAGAGATTTGTTTCTTTTTGGGACATTCACTAGGGACTAGAATAAAATGTTGGGTATTGTCTATCTCATTCTCTTCTGATGACAGATTTCATAGCCTGATGCTTTTTTCATTCTTATTTGAAAATGGCCCTCTATTTCTGTTGGCCAGAACTGTTTTGTAGATTGTCGTTGTTCTTGCATTATGAGTAAGTTACCATAGTTACTTCTTCCTTTAAGTGTGTACCAAGAATTCCAGCATCCTGGTAGTGGAAGAGTGTTTTGTCTTTGTTTTGAATTCCTTCACTGGAGCAGGTGAAATGCTGGCCCTCAGGCTAGGAATAATGAAAAACTCAGTATTAAAGTAAGTGTGGATGGCACGTGTTATAAACAGAGATGTCCTTGAAAGAAGAGTGCTGTTCATAATGACAGTACAGATTTGGTTGCTTGTAGTAACTGAAGAGGAACAACAAACAAATGTGATTTACAGTGCTTCGTTTTCTTGGTGTACTGTACTTCTCTGCATCATGTCAAGTGTAGGGCTTGGTTCTGCCATCAGTAACACTTGTGTATAATCAGCGGTTCATTAAAATTTGTTTTCATGCTTGTGCAAGTAGCAACTTTTTAATGGATATGTGCCAAGATCATCTAGTATGTCTAGAAGCAGAAACATACTAGTAGCTAGTAAACCAGATTCACATATGGTATTTGGTATAACTGAACTTATGTGCTCTTGCTACTATAGGACCCTGGATACGGAATAGATCCAAAGAGAGGTCTCAGATATTGTACCTGCATTTCACACTACTTCCTAACATTAGATTAGCCTGGATTTATCTCTCTTTCTAAAGTAAAGAAGCTTGCTTCTGTTTAGCCCATGGTAACTTTGCTTTCAGATGGTAAATGCACCCTTTTCACAGAGATAAATGCCACCACTGGATACCGAATGTTGCAGTTTTGGTTTTAATGCCTAGATTTTTGGGAAAAGTGGTGCTATCAAGTCTCAGTTTTCACGAACATGATCTAATATATTTTATTACTGAAGTTCTCAGATATGTGGCTATTTAAAAAAACAAAAAAAAAGTCAGTGTGGAATGAAAATGACACAGGGAGTCTCCAAAACTGGATTGTGGCGAGAGAAGTCTTGGTTTTGTGTTCATATTCAATATTGCTGAGTAAAACATAGGTCTTGATTACAGAAGATTGCCGTTGCAGACTGTAGCTTACAAAAGCAGCCTTAATTAGTTTCTTTCTAGAGTTAAAAATGGAGGAGAAAAAAATAAAGGCAGCATAGAAGTGGCTGGTTAATGTATGGATGACCTTGAAAGCTGTCAAGATCTTAAGGCCAAGGGGGTGGAGAAGAACTATGCTGTCAGGCAGCAGATTTATTCCAAGTTCTGCTTCATTATAATTAGCAGCAAGGTTTGGATTTTTGACTTGCTAGGCCATCAGGGTCATGCTCTTTGCCTCAGGGAGGGAATTAGTGACCTCGCACAGCACATGCTGCTGGAGAGTTGGAAAGCCTGCAGCAGTGTTATGACAATATCAATATCACCAGTTGTAGTAATTGCCCGAGACGGTGAGTGTTAACATTAGCTTGTGCTAAAAAAAGAGATCCTAAATTGCAGGTATTATTTTTTTGTTGTTGATGCAGTCCCATTTTTGTAGGGCGTTTAAATTTTTCTTCCTCTCTCATAAATGATCCTCCACGCTCTGTAGGTTTGTTAGAGCTCTGACGTTTTATTTCCCTTGTCTGGTCCCATCAGCTGTGCAGGTCTGTTCTAATAAAAGGTGGATTTGCACTATCACCCTGATGGTCTCTGCCTCCTAATGTAAATGTCTTGCGGTGAAAGATTTTTCCAAATTATCTCCCAGCAATTTAATTATTGCAGGAATATTTTCCCACTGGGAATAGAGAGAAGTGAGCTGAAACTAACTAAAAGGGTTTTTGGTGTCTCTTTAAATGTAAAATATTTATGTATGTAGATTCATTTGAGAAATAAGCGCTGTCCGCCCACTTAAATATAAATGCAAAAACTGTCCCTAAAACGCAAGGATTTTTTTTTTCATGTGTTACTTTCTGTACTTCATTCTAATAATAACCACATCCTGCCTTCCATTACCCTCTACCACCAATATATTGTTGCTTGTTTAGAAACTATGGGCATTTATACACACATCTGTTCTGATGCGCCAGAGACCTGGTGCATCAGAGCAGACTTGATTAAACGCGAGCTGATGCACCCAGCACTGCGTCACATCCATTTGTATAAATGGCGAAATGTGCATAAGTGCTGAGAAAATGGCCGCAGCACGCTTTTGAACTAAAACACCTTTGTGTTTTAGTTCATAAGCAAGCCACCACCATTTTCTCAGCACTGAGATTCATTTTGCCATTTATACAAACGCATGTACCACAGCTCTGGGCCCCATGTGTTTCCACTGTTTTTTTTTGTTGTCAACAGCTTATCCAAAGATGTTAATTCAATGAGCCAGAATCTTGGAAGAATGACAACATTGTCTGTTTCATCCAGTTTTATTTTAGCCTGTTTAGTAATCTTTAAAAAAACCCCAAAGAAACGAACAAACTGTATTTTAGGCTCCAGGTATAACCCCAACTCTATTGCTTTGTCCACTGGTGATTATTTTCAGAATTAGCTAGCCAGCTGAAAAAAAATGTCCCATGCCTCAAAAATTGGAACGGAAGTTTGCTGCCATTTACTGTGTTGAATAATGAAATGGACCAGGGGTGGTACAGAAGTGTTCATGAAGACATTGGGTTATAGGATTTTAACAAGCCCAGGATTTTTTACTGTACATCAAGTTCTTATCTCAATTTCAATTGACTTCTCCCAAGAAAAAGTTTAAATTAAGATTATTTTTTTTCTTGGTAAATATTTATAAATTGGCAAAAGTTGAGAAGTGGAGCTGCTCATCATGTCAGCATCGAAGTTGGTCTCTGCCATGTTGCATCTCTCTCTGTTGTGTGAAATGAGCCCCAATGAGCAGTTCCCCTGTAGGCAATTTGTACAACATCCTTTACACTCGGGTACATATTCTTTTTCACCCTTTTGGAACACCATCCCTCTGTGACTGTCTTGTTTTCTTAGCTGTACATGAACAAAATATTTTTTTATTTAAGTTCTAATTTGAAAATATAGATGTTTAAGAATAGGCTTGGAAGTAGAAGTGGGAACTTGGTGATGAAATGATTTTATGTTCAATTTTAGGTACAAGATGATCTCAGAATTTACTTGGCCAAACCATGACCTCTCTTCTGACAAAGAAGCTGTGAAGAAACTAATAGAGTGCTGTGGGTTTCAGCATGATGTAGCCTATGGAAAAACCAAGATTTTTATCCGCACACCTCGAACTCTATTCACCCTGGAGGAACTGCATGCCAAGATGCTTGTGAGGATTGTTCTCTTCCTACAAAAGGTAAAAATAGTTGCAGGTAAAAGTTTGGGAAGTTCTAGTAATGGAAAAGTTGTCCTATCAAGTCAGTGTTCTATGGGGGAGAAGGCAATATGGTGCTTGCTTGGAAATATGGTGGACATGTTTGGAATTTGCTTTAAAAAAAAAAAAAAAAATCTCCAGCCTTCAGGTCAGAAAATTGAGAGGTTTTTGAATATTGAAGTGCAAGTTCTATGGGCTAATGCATAAGAATAAATTTAGAATAAATTTTACATCTAAAAAGCAGAGATGAATAGAAGATGATGAGGTTTGTATTGTGCAGAGTTCTAGGAAAATAGAGGAGGTGAATTCTTGTGTGGAAATAAAGAAACATAGGGATTTGGCATCAGAGATGGGGGAGTTGGAGTCTGGAGAAGGGAGCACAGGACTTGGATGTTGTTTTGGGTTGTGGTATCGCTGTTGATATGGGATGAATATCTTTGTTTATATTTGGGGGATTGGATATATCTTTAGATGTTGAATCTGGTTGTTTTAATGGGTTGGACTCCTTATAGTTTCATAGTAGCTAGGGTCAGGAGGGACCTGAACAGATCATCTAGCCTGACCCCCTGCCATGGGCAGGAATGAATGCTGGGTTCACAAGACCCCAGACAGGTGATCATCTAACCTCTTTTTGAATTTGCCCAAGGTAGGGGCAAGGACCATTTCCCTAGGAAGTTGGTTCCAGATTCTGGCCACCCTAACTGTAAAATATTGCCTCCTGATCTCTAACCTAAACCTATTCTCCATCAGCTGATTACCTACAACCCACCTCAGGTGGTGCTGGGGAGAAAAGGGCTCTTCCTATTTGCTGATGATCTCCCCTGATGAGTTTGTGGGCAGCCACCAGGTCCCCCCTCAGCCTCCTCTTGCCGAGGCTGAACAGGTTCAGGTCCCTCAGTCTCTCCTCATAGGGCCTGTCCTGCTGCCCTCTCACCAAGTGGGTGGCCCTCCTCTGAACTCTCTCCAGGCTGGCCACATCCTTTTTAAAGTGCAGTGCCCAGTACTGGACGCAGTACTCCAATTGTGGCCTGACCAGTGTTGCATAGAGGGGGACACGGCTTTTGTCTGGACCAGCTTGTGATGCATCTTTGGATGCATGACAAGGTATGGCTGGCCTTGCTGGCTGCGGTCTGGCATTGGCAGCTCATGTTCATCTTGGATTCAATAATGATTACAAGATCCCTTTCCATCTCTGTGCTTTCAAGAAGGGAACTCCCCA